ATGGCACTGAGCACCCCACAATAAGGGGCACCCCAGCTCTGGGGGCCTTCCCGAGCATCCCCATCCCTGCGGCACACCGAGGGTGAAGGGGAACAGCCGCTGCCATGCCCAGGCATGGCATGGTGGAGAGTCCTGGCACAGGATGGGGCCTCCAGGACACAAAACTCCAGGGCCACCACGGCAGCTCTGCTCCCCCAGCAAGGGCACGGGTGCCAAGTAGGATGCCACCCCAAAGCAACACATGCGGGATGCTAAGCGGGATGCCACCCACAACAAATCCCCCTTTGCACGGCCCTGTTTCACCATTAAAATGCTCACCAGAGGGTGCAACCAGTACCAATAGCTCCCAGACTGCACCCGAACCCCTCCCCACTGCACTCCATGGGGCATCGCGTTCATTCGACAGTGCCAAAGAAGGGCAGAGCTGCCGTTGCTGCAGGGGTTCCTCCTGTGGGCAGGGTTTTCTCGGAAGCTGCAATCAGGTTGTCTGAACCCCACCCTGGGTACAGGAGCTCGGAGGGGACTCACTCGGGGCAGGGGGCAGAGACCCCCATGCCTGCAGGAGGCTGGGTTTGCTCCCTGGGGATGGTGCGGGGCTCAGCCAGGTGGCTGGGGGAGAATTAATGCTTAATGGGAAAATAATCAGGCGTTTAAGTACAGACATTGGACTCGGCTGCCTGCTTTGTCGTCCGTCCCCCCCCAAAACACACGGCTGCTCAGGGCCAGGAGGAGGTTTTGACACTGCAGCTCCAGGGGTGGGGACATGCCACATCCCTGTGGGGCACTGGGGGACACACACCAGAGACCTCCACCTGTGCAACGGACCCGTGGAAACACGTCCCCCCAAAACAAAGCTGTTCATTGGTGGGAGGAAGCCACCCTGGCATGGGTCACCTGGCACTTGCAGCCACCCAGCACCATGAGACCCCATCGGAGCCACCTTGGGGTAGCGGGAGGGGTGAGGAGGGGGCAGCACTGAGCCACTGCCCAGCAACCAGTTAAATAAACCCCAGCCTGGAATATAGAAAAGGTCGTTATCTTTGTTTGAGGAACGAGCTGTGCTTGCCCAGCTGTCACGGGCTGGGATTAGGAGCGAGACAGGCAGGCACTGATCTAATTAAGCTCCCCATGTGTAATCAATTGGTGGTTAGCGAGCAGATATCACTGCGTGGGCACCCTGGTGGGGTTGGGGTTATTTGCCATTCTCTGAGCCCACTACAAAGCCCAGTGGCTGTTCCCCAGTGGGGCTGGTGAGAGTGGGCACCTCTGTGTGTGCTGGCACTCAGGAGCTGTGGGGACATGTCTGACCCCAACCACTGCCACCCTGGGGACTGGCCTTTGGGCTGGGACAAGCTGCCGGTGCTGGAGAAGGCAGGGTGGCTCCCTGCAGGCAGAAATGCAGGCAGGAGTTGTGCCCAAGGCCAGCGGGTGAGCGGGACACCGTGCAGCCGGCACGGAAAGACAGTGTGTGAGCACGAGCTGGGGACACACAGGAGTGGGAACAGCCCTGCATGCAGGAGGAAATGCTGGCGTGCGAGCTATGAGGTATGTGCACACATGCACAACCCCCCCGGACAGGTTATCCCAGGAGAAGTGCAGCACAGCATCCCCAGCCCCGGGGAAAGCCAGGCAGTGCCCTGTGGCCAGCAGAGCCTCTGTAAGAGGGGTGCCCGCTGCGCTCCTCTGCACGCCATGGGGTCTGGCAGCGTCTGGCCATGGCCAGGCAGGGCACGGAGCTGCTGGCAGCCACGGCCCTGGGTGAAGCTGTTTTTCAACACTCATGCCAAAACATACAGGTGAAAAAGAAACAAAAATAAAACTGTGGACGATGTCTGGGTGGTGGCCAGGAAGGCAGGCACTGCCCCCGCTGCGTCACTGCTGCCGATAGAGAGATAAAAGTTAACGTAAGAGGATAATTAATTAGCGCTAAGCACTGGTCTGAGTGCTTATGCTCTGTGCAGTGCCAACACCCAGCCTCCCAGCTGACGGGGACCCGGTGCCAGTGGCATGAACTGGCAGAGCCCACTGGGCATCAGCTGCAGCAGAGCAGTGGGCACGGAGCTCACGCTGCCCACCGGAGCAGCCTGCCAGGGCCACCAGGGTCCGGCCCTGCATGGCAGCAAGATATGGTCTCTGGTGGGGGATGGTCACCGAGCCAGGGCATGGGGCCACACCAGGCATGGGGGGACATCGGGGTGCCCAGGGAAGAGGGCTGCAGGTCTCCGCTCACACGTTGAGCTTTCGCATGCTGGCACATGGCTGCAGCCCTGGGCTAGCTACAGCTGAGGGCACGGCGGGGAGGGCACGGCGGGCTGCAGCAGTGTGGTGTCTGCCAGCTCCACTCCAAGGTCACTCCTCCTCCTCCTCCTCCTCCTCCTCCTCCTCCAGCCAGGTGATGTGGGACCTGCCTGAATTACTCTGACCTCTGAAGGGCTGGAGCCAGCGCTGGTCCCGCAGGCATGCTGCCCCACATCGCACCCCAGACCCCGAAGTCTCACTTCCCTCTGCCCGACAGCCTCCCCGGGACAGATGCTCCTGCCCAGCAGCAGGCAGGAGCAGGGGGGGCTGAGACACCCTGAAAGCCCCAGCTTCACTCCCCCATGCCCAGGCACACAGTCCCCAGGGTGAACCGGGTGGTCACCAGCAGACATAGTTATAGAGCAAAAGCCAGGCTGGAGGCTTGGGGTTGCTCCAGCCCTGGCACAGCCTCGGCTGCACACACCAGCCACGGGTGACACACACCGATGGCAGGTGACACACACTGACTGCGGGATGGACACCGTGCCAGCAGCCCTGAGCCCTACCAGGCTCCCCGACCCAGCTGCATGACTCCTGCCCCACTGCTTCTTGCACCTGAAAGCAGGTAGAGGGGAGCAGGCATAGCTGTACCCCCCAGAAGCGATCACCCTCCCCGGGCACAGCCTCTGTCACCATGG